CAAAAAAAAAAAAAAAAAAAAAGTGGGTTTTATATATATATATATATATATATTTCTTTTTGTATATTATTTTCTCTAAATTACAAAAAATAAAATAAAAAAATAAATAATACTCATTAATTTTGCTTTTAAAAAAAATCATATTCTTTCAATTTTTTGCACTATTATATTCATATTTTCATAAATATTTTAAAACTTTAATTAAAATAAAAATTTATTAAAATTTTATATATTTCTTAATCATATATAAATTTATCAATATAACTTCTTTCGCAACCAAAACAAAATAAATTGAGATTTTAAAATTTTTAATTTCGTAAAAAAAATTATAAGCTTTGTCAAAAATGTTTCTATTTGATTTTATATTAATAAAAAAATAAAAAAAAAAACTTTGACAAAACGAACACAATCAAGAAAGCACGTGAGATGGTGTGATTTTTTAGTCAACGATGTTTGACTATCAGTTTTCAATAATTAAATGTATTAAATTTGAACAATTAAGTACAATAATAATATACATGAACGAAATAAAAATGTTACCATTTTTTCTATTTATTTACATTTCGGATTTTTCCTGACCTACGTCACCATTTTCTCCATTCGTTTGGACGTTTTTTTCGAGCAAGCATAGTCTACTTTAAAGATTTGTCTCTACACTCTAGTGTAAGTTATTGACTCGGGATTTCTCCTCTATGGGATGAAAGTCCCACATCGACTAATTTAGAGAATGATCATAGATTTATAATCAAATAATACATCTCCATTGGTATAAGATCTTTCGGGAAAGCCCAAAGCAAAATCTGCCATGAAACTTTTCAAATCTAATAAGCCCAAGACCATGACAGTACCGAGTCAAGGCAACTTCAAAAAATTTTCAAAAATTTTAGTGAACAAACATGTCTGCTTCGAAGCAATCGAGCAAGTCTTTTATGTTGACTAATTGGTTCAACCTCGACCATGTCAATTATTATTAATAAAGTTTTATTTTTTTCCCCTTTTATTTTGAAATTTATTTATAGTTTAATAATCATATTTTTAATAAAATTTATAAAACTAACGTAATATTCATAAACCTAATTAAAAAATACAAAATAAAAAAAATATCATCAATTAAATTCACTTTATTTTCGCTATTATGCATAATTGTTCATATTAAAAAAAAAAAAATTGATGTGATATTATTGTAAAATATTAAAATGGTATATTTATCTCATAAAGTATTCAATTTTATGTAGTTGTTATCAATTAATATAAATTAAATTACAATCCATTATTATTATTATTATTATTATTATTATACATCACGACAAAAAGTTTTAAGTCAATTAAAAAAGAGTAATAATTTAAGTCAATTTATTTTAATTTAATACACTAAAATTTTAATTTTATGTACAAATAACCTTATAAAATTTTTTTATTAGATACATTTGAAAAGTATATTAATATAATTTATTAAAAGTTTAGGGCTGAAGGGATATTATTTAAATTAAAATTTAATAGTAAAGGGTAGCAAAGGAATTTCACTCACTTTTATTGAAAGAACACTTACTTTCTTTACATTTATGGATAATATGCAAGGCCAGTAAACTACGTCAACTTGCTTCGATATTTACAAATCTCAGCCGGCTTTGGGCATTTTCACGAGCAGCTGATTGGCCGTAAATATCAAATTCTCCTGTCTTCAGCGGTTTTGTTCGTCGTCTACTGCTTGATTTTGTCTTCATTTTCTTGATCTCTTCCATTCTGGATCAGCAGCATGGGCACGCTCATGGTCTACGTCTTATATAGATTCTGACACGTTAGGGAGACGGAAATAGGTTTGTAGCAATTTCGCTTGCTTCATCAAGCTCCTCTCACCTGTTCTGCTGCCATATCCAACCAGAGTATGGAGTTGAAACCCGGATTATCGGCTTTGGTCACCGGCGGAGCTTCTGGAATTGGTAATCTCCTTAATTCTTGCTTTTCGTTTGGCGCGCTTCTGGTTTTTCTACGTGATGACTTCACTGTTAATGAATTTAATTTATTAACTGTATTGTTGATGGCTTGTCTTAATCATGTTGTTGAGTGATTGGTTATTTCTGCATCGAACTAATTCAAGCGTTTGGTTGCAAGCTTCTGAACTGTGGATGAATAGTAAGATTAGATTATGTATAGATTCATGTATTTTTCTTTTCTCCGACAAGCTTGGAGGATGGTTTAATATTGAGCAACCGTCCCCTGTTTATAAGCGGACGGTTTAATCAGAATGTTAATTATGTTGATTGCATCATGGGGGAAATTTTTAAAATTCATTATTGTTCTTAGCTTTAGAGGTTTGGTACACTTGCAGTGGTGTTTTAGTACTTTGTTTTTATTGTTAAAATTCTTAGTCCTTTTTGTGTATATATTGTTTGAATTTTTACTCTATTATGTATGTTTGCAACCAATAGAAAAAGGATTTCTTACACAAGCTTAGAATTTTGATTTTATGCATTGGAAAGACCGCAGAGCCATTCGAGAACAAAGGAAAAATTGAACAAAAATATATTCGTTTCTCTTAAATGCAGTGATTTTATTATTATTTTCTGATGATTGGTACTCAATGGCGTGTTCGTTATTTGGTGGTTATTCCTGTTTAGGTAAAGCTCTCTGCCTAGCTCTGGGAGAGAAGGGAGTATTTGTGACTGTCGTTGATTTTTCTGAAGAAAAGGGTCAGGAAGTTGCATCCATTATCCAACAAAAAAATGCCAAACTTCACCCTAAGTTAGAGGTTCCTCCTGCAATATTCGTAAGATGTGATGTTACCAACACAAGTGAGTGGAATCTCCTATCTTATAAATTTTATTGGATCCTTTCTTGTTTAAAAAACTCTGGTGGCTTTCCCTCCTTATTGCATGTCTCTCTTGTAACTGTAAGTTAATTACGTCAATATTATATTTTATAGCTAGATTCCTGTTCTAGTTGTCATTACTAATAAGCTGTTATAGTATGATCATGGCTATAGTTGTTTTAATGTTCACATCGGAGTTTATTACTGGGAATAGGGTATTCACTGCCATAAAAGTTACAAGGATTTTGTCATTTCTCCTGAGCTTTTGTTAAAAAGTTAGATCTATTTCTTCATTTGTATAGTTATGAGATCATAAATTCAACTCGTAGCTTGTGGTCATTCATACTTGTAAGGGGTATGGTGATAATTATTTTTAGTTTTATGAAAAAAATCTAAGGAAGAAACCACAATGCCAACTTTTCAAACTCTTACAAACCAAAAAACCTTTGAACGCAACTTTCGGCTGTGGCATAATAGGATGAACTCCACCGAAATTCTTGCGTCTACTTGGTATACTCTTTCTAGGCTACAAAAGAGGTCTCCAATTTTCCATGAAGTCATTTTTTTATTAAGACTCTAATTTGAAAGGAGGGAATAACATGTACACCAATAGAGCTAAAAAAAAAAAAAAAAAAAAAAAAAAAAAAAAAAAAAAAAAAAAAAAAA